AAGATTTGTTCATTTTGTAATGATATCTGATATCTTCTCTAATTTTGGTGAATATTTCTGTCATTTTTAGTAAAATGAGATATTTTTGACTTCTTGTTAAAAACCACAAATCCAATTGCTTTGATATTACATATATATGTACTACATGTGGACCACTCTCAAATTTGTTCATTTCATGATGATATCTTCAATTCTCTTATATCGATTTACCTATAATCTGGTTTCTTTCATAGAGCATCCGCCATCCGGGAGTGGTGAATATGGAGAAGATGTTTGATCCTCCCGAGAGAGTATTTGTTGTGATGGAGAAACTTCGGGGAGACATGCTGGAGATGATACTATCAAGTCAGCGAGGTCGGCTCTCGGAGCGAGTGACCAAATTTCTAATTCATCAAGTAGGTCATCTGAAATTCTACAACGTCTACCTACTCTCCCCAAGGATTGTCACTGTCATACGTTCACGCAGTCTATTTAATCTTGCAGTGCGAATACTGTGAGGTTATTACGAAAATACCACAAATGCATCAAGGCAGTACTGTGATCATATCAACTGACACTTAGCGGAGGTTGATGCATTACCGTACTACCTGATTACATACTTTGCAGTATCCGCTTGATAACCTCATTTTTTTAAATCTTTTCCTTTGCTTGTAGTAAAAATTTAATGTGCCCGTATGTTCATGCACTGTGGTTTGCGCTGTTTGAACGTCTGCTTTCAGTGACATCACATGCTGAAAATGTTTATGTTTACATAAACATGAGGCACAATTTCCAAATTCACTTTTGAACACTTTTGAACACATAAATTTTACGATAGATAAATTCAACTATTTATGGTGTTGGATGTTTAATAATATCCTGTATTTTGCTTCAATATTCTCCCTATGAGGCTGGAACGTATTCATTGCTATCCTATGAACTGCATGATTCGATGCAAGTCTGTGAAATTCACAGTATGCTTTCAGCATAAATAATAAACTACAAAATGTGCCACAAAATTATCTTGTGAACTGCTCCAATAGACATGCTTATAAACCAAAAATTGCATTTGATGTATACCGGTACTGAATCATTAAAATATTACTTATTTTGATCATAGAAACACTTATGTAATGTATGTAATTGCTACTAATGAAGCAAATACTTGGAAAATCAGTGGTATTGCTTGCAAACAGATGCTTGCATATTTATCTTGTGAAAATTTGAAGTAAACTGACACAGTTCATCAGTTTTTGGCATAGGTCAGAAGAAAATGTGATGAACCTGATTTTTTCCTCTAAATTTGTACACGGAGATGAGTACCTCAAAGCTGCATGTCATAGTAACCTTACCTTGACTGGTCTGCCATGATTGCTAATACACCTCTGTCAATTCTACTGTGACATGTCTTTGTTTATTCACCAAATTGGTAAATTTGACATTTACAGATTCTTATAGCACTGAAGTATCTACATAGTAAAAATATTGTTCACTGTGACCTGAAACCAGAGAACGTACTACTATCATCAGATTCTGATTTCCCGCAAGTAAGTACAAACATTGTAACTGTATTATGTCATATTTTTGCTTCAAGGAATTTCTGTGGATTAAGACGCTAGTGAGAACCACATTATATTGCCCTGACTTCATGTCTTTTTTTTACTGCTACAAAACGTCTCGCAAGATTAAAGCGTTCATGTCCCAGAGATGTTACCACATTGACGTGTACCCTATATACCGTAGATTGACAGCATTTAGATCCATGGCATGGAATCTGATGTACCATACAATCTGTATTAGAAGCTGCATCCCTAATATAAGTTGCACCCATTCTTTTTGAACAATTGAGAATAAAAAAATCACAATTTCTCATTTGTGTAGATGTTCTAATAGAAACCGCATCCCCTCTGTTGTATTGTACCATTTTAATAGAAGCCACGGATTCTAATATAGATTTTACAGTATTAGCAGTATATTACAACAATGTCAGAAATTGGTGCAGTGTGATGTCCTCCATCACTTGTGAAATTTATTCATAATTTTCACTCACAGGTTAAATTGTGTGACTTTGGTTTTGCAAGAATCATTGGTGACAAGTCGTTTCGTCGTTCAGTTGTTGGTACCCCAGCATATTTAGCACCCGAGGTATTGCGTAGTAAAGGGTACAATAGATCGTTAGACATGTGGTCTGTAGGCGTCATCATTTACGTAAGGTAAGTGTGTTATGATAGTACTGAAGCGAAATTGGAAAAAATTGGAGGTATTTGTGCCCTTGTTACTACGGAAACAAAGTTATAATCTGGTGGTGGTCATTTTTTAGCTCCGCTGTTGCTTTTGTCAATCGAAGCAGACCTTTCTCAGATTTGTTCATTTCACGATGATATCTTCAATTTTTGTCATTTTTGTTAAAAACCACAAATCCAATTGATTTGAAGTTATGCATGTAGGTACCTCAGAAAGACATCCTTTAGATTTGTTCATTTCGTGATGATATCTTCAATTTTTGTCATTTTTGATAAAAAGTGATATTTTCGACTTCGTGTTAAAAACCACAAATCCAATTGCTTTGAAGTTATGCATGTAGGTACCTCAGAAAGACATCTTTTAGATTTGTTCATTTTGTGATGATATCTTCAATTTTTGTCATTTTTTATAAAAAGTGATATTTTCGACTTCTTGTTAAAAACCACAAATCCAATTGCTTTGAATTTTTGCATGTAGGTACCTCAGAAAGACATCTTTTAGATTTGTTCATTTTCTAATGATATCTTCTGTTCTTTAATTTAAATGTGCATTGCTAACAGCAGGGTTATCTCAGCCGAGAGGCTGCTTGTAATTGGACAATTGGGTAATTGGTATTCAACAAATATACAGTAACTTCTGACAACAGTCTATTTTTGAATTTTCTCATGTCGGCCATATTGTATTCTTCATCTGTGGAATTATTATTGATATGAACATATAAATCCCAGAGCTTTTATGAAATATCTTTACTCTCTGTAGCTTGAGTGGCACATTCCCTTTTAATGAAGATGAAGAAATAACCGATCAGATCCAGAACGCTGCGTTCATGTATCCTCCCAATCCATGGAAGGAAGTATCATCACAAGGTACCAAAACTGAACATCATTCAATATGCACTCTGAGATCATTCCTATAGCTGTATTGGAGTCTTGAAACGATTATGTGAAATATTTGATGATCTGAATTTGCCATTATTCTGCTGTGCATATAATCAAATACAAACCAAAACAATCATGGCGGAAGAGATTAATCTTTTATTTATGTATAAAGCATATGCCCTTATCATAGAGTGGTACCATAAAACAAGTTTGCAGTATATATAATCAGCTTTTCACTTTTTAGAAAACTATACATGTATACAGTACTGTAAAATACTTTATTTTAGCTGGAATTAATTTTCGCTGAAAAGACCTTTTTCGTGTTTTGTATGGAATTTATTTTCAATGATTTTTGACGAGTTGAATGTAAAATATAGGAAAAGTATATTTGCTGGATTCCTTCATTCCTTCAGCGAAAATAGCTAAAATCAAGTATTTTACAGTATACAAATAATGTTTTTCTGTTTTCAATTCTTAAATCTCACAATACATCAGATATCAGCTCTATACAAGTTCTATGCATCATGTACAAATAACAAGGTTAAGCAGCCCTGTACGTATAAATGCCAGAGTAATGCAACTATGAAGAGAACTTATCTTGAAGGTTTTATACTTCCTTTTCTTTACAGCTGTAGACGTGATAAATAACCTACTACAGGTAAAATTAAGGAAAAGGTTTACTGCGGACAAGTCTTTGGCACATGTATGGCTGCAGGTATGTGAATATTGTCGTATGGTATTATAATAACGCAAGACTTGCGTCTGAAAATTCTTTAGCAATCACAGACACTATACTCAATGACGTATGTCAATATTTTCGTCAGCCGTGCACTTCAACCTAATGTCAAAGCAAAATTACCTTTGTCACCTTTCATAAGATAAACCGGCACATATTTTAATCACATTTGTTTATGTTTTCGTACACACTTGTACAGTGACTGGTTGGTAACGACTAGTTCTCACCTGTAGATAAAATAACCGTGTAGTTCGCTGCTGCCGTTATTAATGATACATGTACGGGCAACATTGCTAGTACACTGATAAGTGAACGACATGTACACATTTGAGTACCAGTTTGCAAAAATGTAAACAAATGATGCACAACACATTGAGAAATTTCTGAAAAATACATAAAAAAAGTACAAAATGTTGGACTGAGATAATGGTGCTGAACATGTGAACTTTTAAATCACGGCTGGCAGACATGTTTAAAGTTTGATCATTTCAGACATCAGCTGAGACTCAAATTCCACAATTTGTCTTCAGTGCTTTCCTGTATTGAACACCATCTTTAATGTTAAAACTTCATCAATTCATTTCACCAAAACAAATAATTTCTACTTGCAGGATTATCAATTGTGGCTCGATTTAAGAGAGCTTGAAAAGCAGGTTGGTGAGCGGTATTTGACACACGAAAGTGATGACGCTAGATGGGAGGGCTACAGACGTGATCAGGCAGACGGAAAAAAGAACAACAGTCCCATGCAAAGAGTCGGCATGCAAAGATACAAAGATAGACTTAGTACTTTGTGAGAAAATTGTAGTCTTTAAATAGCAATATTTGTTGTACTAAACTCTATAAGGGAATGCCGGCGCCGGGACATGGATGCCAGTGATGGTAATGCAGTGGACTTGCATTGGTATAGGAATAGAGAATGTCATTATGTGGTCAACTCAGGTTAGGTATTAATGATAACGAAAAAAGGGAACATCCCCCTCCCCTTCTGTACCAAAGGTTATGCAATGTTCTATCACACCAGCTTTCTTGTCTGTTCTTTTTCACCTTCTGAAAACCTGAGAAGATATAAAAAGCGACTATCACTGCCAAACCAGGGAGCCGAATTTTTTTTAGCCTGTATTTTTTATCACATCTCTTAGTGGTCTGTTTTTAATACTTAGTTTTTTTTATTATGTACATAACCTGCATGTACATCTCTCCAAGTGTGAAGTCAGACAAGGCGATTCATCAGCTGATTTGTAGTTTTAGCTTTTGCATAACATTCATATCTCCACACAATGTGATAGATAGAAAATCCATATTTCCTCTGTTATGACACAAGTCTTGGCAGTGCAAAATACCATATCATTCATATGTAACGTCATTGTACGTGGTGTTTAATATGTAAAGTGCTCAAGTTCCAACAACTATAGTCACAGAAACATAGCCCATACTCGGGCTAGTAATTTAGTTTCAGAATTTTAGGTTTGATTTTAAAATTTCTGTTTGAGCTGCAGTAAAAATAATAAACAAATTAAAATGACACAACACATACATAAAACTTTATTCTGTCATAGAACACATTCATATGCATAAGTTGATAAATATTTATAATTATGGGATGCTTACAACACTCAGACGGTGATAAATATTCAAGTTAGAAAGTGATTGAATTTATTTTTGGCGATGTTCTCATTCAAGACCTTCGACTTGAACAATACCGGTACTGTAAAATCTGTACTAGAAGCCGCAACTTCCATTGAAATGGTACAATGTAACAGAAGGGGGTGCACCTTCTATCATGAGAAATGATGATTTTTCGGTTCCAAATTGTTCAAAAGGAATGGGTGCGGCTTCTAATACAGATTTTATGGTAGCACATGCTCAGAAATTTTGTTGTTCAAATCTCAACCTGAATTTTTTTTAATTCAGTCTTCAGTTCGTCTGTCAAAATACACTGACAAACATTGTCGTCATTATGAACTGGTATGTACTTTCAAATCAAATCAAAATGGCAATTATTACAGCATCATATTCAGAATCACGCAGTTTGTCTTTTGACCCTGTCTATTTATAAAATAGTTAATACCCCATGATTGTACTCTATAAAGTAGTTTATAAACAAAGCTTTAAAGAAGAGGGTGCAGTCAATGTCTGAGCTTGTGCCTTGATAGTCAACATAGTATGACCAAGCATCCCTATTCTTCCCCTTCAAATTAACAACTGCAGTTCAACAGTGCTTACTAACTGTATCAATTGGGCCATGCATTCTACATATGAATTTGTATTTTTTCCCCTAAACAACTGCATAATAATTACCTGATTTGCATAAATATTGCATTCCTTTGCATAGTAATTATCTGATTTGCATAATGATGACAGACCAGAATTGGGTGCTGCTCACAATTGCTTGTATGTGATTCTAAGCCCTTAGAATTTTAAATATCTTACAAATTTAAATATTCTGCATGGCAATTATATCATAATCAAAGTTGACATCTGTTGCAAATCCATCTGGGAGTGAGATATTTTTTTTTTTATATCTAACCCAGATCAGAAATTGTGAACATTAATTCTTTTTTTGCACATATCACATGAACATTTGGCTTAAATATAACAGTATAGTTTCTAAGACATCTGTTAAAGTACTATACCTAAAGCATTTTACAATAAGTCTCATGTTTTGGTGTCATGCTTGACTTGCATTGCATGTTCAATGCTACTCTTAATTTATTATACGTACTGCCTATAAGATTTTGGACATATTAGGGGTTCCCAATATTTGCATATAAATGCGCAGATCCCAAAATATGCAGTCCCTAATGTCACAGTGAATGATAAAGTGTGTGTAAGCAAGAGAAAAGAAGTATAGACTACATCTTTTTAGCAAAGATTTATGAGACGCTGTATGCAAGACGCTGAAGATCTCGCGTAAATTGAATTCTTGTGAATTGCAAGATACTCACAGAATTTAAAGACTGATGTACATTTCTAGAAATAGTAACGAGCGATTGTTTGAACGAACTTGTATATTCGCAAACATTTTTTTGTTTTATCATATTTGCGGTATACCGAGTGTTTACAAGCACCTGCTACATTCTGTGAAACCATAAAATAGGTTTGATGCATGTCATCATCACATATCACCAAAGTTGCATGCCTGTATCTATCTTATAGTCACATAGGAGCTCGTGAGAAACGCACCTATATTCGTAAGTTGAAATACGATAGTGGTAAGGGAAATAAGAGGTGATTCAGCAACCAAAGTTTGTAACACTTGAATCTTGTCGAAAATTATGTAATTCTCGACTTGTCAGAGCCTGGTAACCATCCCGTCATGCCTTGGGTTGCCTGCTCTCCACAATTGTCTTTCACATTTTGAAAATCCTGGAATGAGATTCTTTTCAATAAAGACAAATTCAGAAAATTGAAAAAACATGGTACACATAAAATCCAAAAGGCAAAAATAAGAATTGCCTATTTTTGGGATATTGCGATGTATAGTAAATAATTGTGTTCTCAATTCACATGGCTCTGTTTGCATTTGTAGTGGATAGCATAACAAGTGAGTGTTCCATGTTTTATATGGCTAATTGGGTAACGTAAAACAAAGCTTCAAGCACATTTTCATACATCGTTAAATAAATATCTTCAGTAACTGAAAGAAAATCAAAAATAGATGAAGCTCTTTTGTCAGGTAATAATTAAGAACATTTTTTTTTATTTATTTAATTTTCCACTGATCTTCAAATGGTCTAAAAAGAGTATGGCGCATTCATGATTTTAACATACCCACGTATCTCTGGCAGTCATTTAATAAAAAAAACTGTTGCTAAAACGAATTGACAAGCAACTTGTTCCCTTTAAAATAATAAGTTTTGTTTCTATGACAACTAGTGAAGCAGTATGTTTACCCCGCTCCCCCCGACATGCATGACTCCACTTGATAAAACTTTTTTTAATTAAATTTATTTATATTGTCGAGTCTCTCTCTGTAGGGTTTAACTTTAATATTGAGGTGTTATTGTTTTTTTTAAATAAAAAATGTGAATGGGTGCTATTTGCTTTTTAACAAAAAAGTGAATTGTTAATTGAAAACAAGGGCATGAGGAAGCCGTAGACATCAACACTGAGGACCAACCAAAATGTGGCATGTATATTTTGAATAATTACGATTGAGAGAGACTGCGAATGAGAGAGAAAGATGTTCCACATTGTGGAAATACACAACAGTATTAATACTCAGTGTATTCAGCTTGCACCTAAATTTGTACACTTTAACAAAAGTGTTAAACGTAGATCGCAAGATTGACGACGCTGACACCAGTGGTCTTGTATGTCCACTGGCTCAAGTTAATAGTTCATGATTTGCTCAGTATTTTTTAAGTCGATTTTGTTTGGTTCAGCAAGCATTAACCTGTCCTTTCTCTACAAGGATTTAAAAAAAATGTCATTGTTGTAGTATGTTGTGTTAAAATATTGTTCGGTTGGTAGTATTCTCTGTCCTGTTAACAAAATCATGTTAGAAATTTACCATCTTTTTTTACCAAGTGTTTTCTTTTTTTTCTTTTATATACAAACAGTAGTTATAAAAAGCAAAGTAGGAAAAAAAAATAATGGTCAAAATTGTTATTTGATTTTTGCTACCTTAGGTAAAAATAAAAAAAGGTTTTGTTTCTCATCTCAAGGAAAATTGATGTGGTTTTAATTATCTTTTTTAATTAAGATTCCCAACACTGAACAACTGGATATATGTTAAAATTCATTCATAACATTAATTGACTTGGATTGACAAAACATCTTCTGAAACGGAAAACAAACATGCCGTGCGTGACTCACTTTACTGGTATATAAAATTGTAAGTAAAATGTGCGAGATGTGGGTTTCAAATTGGTGCATACAATGAGAAGCAAAACATTTTGTTTTTGTCTTGTGGTACAGTGAATTTCATGAAGGCATGAATAGTTTTTATCAAAATTGATTTATAAAACATTTACGTTCCTCGTGGTATAGAATCCAGTTTAGACTGTCAACAGTCCTTTGGCCTAATGTAATTGCGATCCTAGACATTCAAACGCCAAAGGTGTTTGATGGGAGATGCGAATCATTTCCCTAATAACACTCCATACTTCCTGTCCCCGTGTTCGCAATTTACACACGCCTATACACAATATTTATTAATAATGACAGATTAATATTAAGTACCGGTATGACCAACTATGGACAGTCTAAAGCCAATTCATTAACATCCATCACCCATGAGTCTATGTCGGTTTACTTCAATCATTGGCCGATTTACTGCTATAAATTCGTTACAATTGGTCAAGTCGTTTTCAACAGTCGTTTGTAATTTATAACATTTAAAAAGCATTCATGCCTTTGTGAGATTCACTGTAGTTTAGTAATTTGTACCCAATGCGTGTTAATCATGCATTTAGAGATTTCACACTTTTTCTGTCCCCTTGATAACAGGATTATGGTTACTGGGGTTCACAGGGTGACCTGACCATTTTAGGAAGACAAATATCACAATTCAAACACAATTCATGTAAAAAAAATAAACAAAAAAAATTGTTTACATGCTTGTCTTTATCCTTAATTTATAGTGCAAAAATGTGTTGTCTTTAATATTTATTTCTCATGTTTTAGTTTCTTTTGATTCTTACAATGAGTTCAGATTTTCATACGTTGTCTTATTTTTGTCCCATGTGTTAAAGCATGGGGTCAATTCATTGTACAGTTTAACTGTTATTCATTTCATTAAAAGATATTTAAAAACAGAAGAAAAGAAAGTGTTGTTTATGTGGCGTTCAACTTGACATGATTTTTAACGTTGTCTGGTTTCCGACTCTCATTGCACATAGTGAGCAGCAGAATATTCAGATTACATGAATGTGTATAATACTGCGTGATAAAAAAAATAAATACGGGTGCCATGAGCTGCATTATTCAATATAACAAAGGAATGCATATCAGATACAAGTTTAGGATATTCATACTGTGCATATACGAACATCACATAGACAGCCAGAGAATAATTGTTTTGGTCGTACAAAATGGCTGTTCATAGCGTGGACCGTAATGCCTACCATATTTGTAACATATCTCACAAATTAGTTTTATCACCAGAAGAATTCCTGTAAGTCTATAGATGGCTGACTTGTCCCAGTCTAAAAAAAATGTCGCTCCAGAAAAACCTAATATTTTTCCAACCATGTCTACTTTATTAAAAGGGAAAAAAGCTTCCCTTCTAGAGCACTGTCTGTGAGAGCAGAACTCTTACACCTCAAACCAACAGGTTATGTTTTCAGACAGAGCCACAGAAACAATTGATGCTTCTGCTACAGAATTATACCAGCTTACATTCGTTGTATCCCTCAATTCCACAGTCAGTTTCTTGTACTTTACGTCTGATATAGGAAGCACCCTCCATGATGGGCAACATCAAAACAGTTTAAAAGTTAGCTTCTCAAATGATATGTTCAAAAGTTTAATGTGTTGTAGTGCAATCTCGCATCTTAAGATTTGTTGTCCTCGCTTAGTCTTTATGGTATGGAATGAAGATATAAAAAATTATTACACTGAATTGCAGTGATATATTGGATACATTTTATAAATACTTTGTTCCAGTTATTAATTATCATAAACTAGTTCTATTGCAAATATCCTCATTAAAATAGTTCAGGCATTTCTATAATTAACTGCAAAACATGTTACAAATATGTTTAAAAACTACATCCACTCTACTTCCCCAGGTTGGCTCTTTCCAATCAGACTGCACGCTGTTTCCCGGGCAGAAAAGAGATTAGAAACACTAAATGATAGTTTACAGATATAAACCCCCTGTTTTGGCCAGTTGCACAAGAATGCCAACTAAATATGCCAGCTGGCATCTCAAAAAACATTTTCAGATTTCAACAAGTAATTGCAATTTGGGGAAATGTTATCCATGCCTAAAATAAAGTAATATTGCCAAAAGCCAAGATGGCTGCAAGTCTATCCTTCATATCTAATCACAAATTGATGGCCATGTATTTCAACATGTGTAATATATGCAGTCCAATTGGATATACAAATCACTGGTCATGTGACCAGGTAAATCGTCTCTGAATGAATTTGTAGTGTATGGTCACTAATTGAATAATGGACTAGTCGAGTATCAAGTCTCCAGTATCGTAAGCATGTGCCAGCTTATTTGTTGCTGTTACCTGATTAAAGGGGAACCGCTCAATCCCATGGATTGCCTCTGTCCACTAAGTAAATGAATGTTTATTATGCTCGCTTTAAATACTCAAACTATGATTGACAGGCATTTTGCATACATTAGCTGCCATTTTAAATTCATGATTTTTACATGTCGCGGCACGTTTCGACCGAAAACATTTATACATCAAAAGCCCAACCAGATGAGTGTAATCGCTAGAGTACATATTCATGCCCCCGTATTTGGAATCACAGCTTGATCTCGAAACATTGTAAATGGCACAATTCCCGGAGCTCCCGCCACGATGTTAGCGGCTTGATTCGGATTAGCACACAAATTGCAGTGGCCATCTTGCCCCTACTTATAGTATCGGTTCCCCTTTAAGTCACTTTATGATTTAACGAGAATGAAGCACAAGTCAAACATGAACGTGTACACACGACAACTATACAACTAGAGTGTCAGTTAACATTTACTCACACCCAGTCGTCTCAGGAGAAAATCATAAATTCATTTGCAACCAGACTCATTCATGCTAACCTAAATAATCTATGTACATTTTTTTAATATTAACTTTCATTTTTTGACTTTGGACATTTAATACAACCTTTGGAAGATATTCCTACAAATAAATACAGGCATATACTATTATGTATATGACAAAAATACGATAAATAAAACAAAAATAATACATTTCACCAAACCACTGCATGTGCATATGTTCCATATAAAGTATTCGCTCCAGAGGGTTCTGAAATACAACTTCAGACACTGACAGACAGAGACCGAATTATAAAGATGTGCTCTGTAATAAATCACAGAAAGCGAACCGGAGATATATACAATCACATTTATTCTTTTTCACTTTAATAAGGATTATTGTTGGTATACACTGTGGATCACATTGCACAGCTATACTCGTCAACAGTCTTCTTATTTGAAATAAAAAATTTTGAATTCATCACAGATGTACATACTACCGGTGTGTGGTGAATATATATGACAGCCTCTGCTCGACATTCTGGTTACAAGTGAACACCATCTATAGAATGTGTTCCAGTATTCCTTGCCGGATTAAATGCTCACATTGTGATCTTCTCAAAAAATGCTGCAAAATAAAAATATAATCATAATATCATCAAGCATGCTACCGCCCTCTAGTGTTGCGTTTTCAACTATGAAAGATTTGTCCAAAGTATACAGACACAGCTGCTACAATAAACCACATCTACGGTATATCTTTCAAAAGGTACTCCCACAATGCAACATTCACTTTTAAATAGCGGTTAAATTATGAGGTAATTGAATATTAATTGAAGAGATGTACTTACTATACAGATTTTTTTTATCAAAATATAATCAAATCTTGTTTTTACTATTTTGTGAATTGGCAATTACTGTAAAAAGTGTCCTTTTAGTTGATTTGTTATTTTGCTAATTCAAGATGTCACTAATTTAAAATAAAGTATATTCTCATGAGATTGTTGTCACTATAGCCAATTAGAATTTTGTTAATTCATACATTAAGTCAAATTCACTACAATTGCACGTAGCTATTTCAACGCAACAATCTTTGCACCAAACAGGATTAGCGCAATACAAAATATCTGTACCATTATTCCAGTCAGACATACATGGAATAGGAAATACAGACTTACCTGACTGTTTTTTTTCAATAAAATCACGGTGCCATCCTCTGTTTCAAACTCCCCATGGTCCACTAAGCATCTTACCTGAACAAAGATGCAA